TCTTTTTTTTAACATGGAGCATTTCAGAAGACTATTTAAAATTTAATTTCCTTCCAAGAACCTAAGGGATATCAGGACCCTTGGCTTGGGGAACCTTGAAAATCCTGAGCCAAGAGAGTGGAGGTAGTTTAGTATTTTGGAAAGAGAACTGAGAATCACAAGATTTAGATTCTAGTCTTGTCCTCTGCAACATTGGGCAAGTCTCAACCTCGGTTTCCCTTTTCTCACCTGTAGAACAGACACTGGTGACCATTTCTCCTTCTGTATATTCCCCTCCCTGAGGGTTGGAGACATTGTTCTCTCTTGGTTCTCCTACCTGTTTGAATGTTCCTTGTTAGTGTTCTTTGGTAGATCATCAACCAAAACCTGGCTCCTAATGCAGGAATACTAAAGGATCATTGCTGGACTTCTTCTCTTTATCACCTTAACAGCTCCCATGACCTCATTTATCATCTCTATGCAGATGACTTCAAATTTATGTACCCATCCCTCTCTTTCCTGAGCTTCAGACCTCTATTGCCAACTGCCTGTTAGAATTTTTTAACTGGATGTGCCATAGGCATCTCAAATTCAACATGTCCAAAAAGACATTTTCTTCTCTCTAAACCCAGCTTTTCCCCAAACTATTCTGTTGTTGTTGTTGTGTTAAGGATTCTTTCAGTCACCCAGGTTTGCAACATTGGAGTGATCCTTGACTCAGTCTCCCTTACCCCACATATAATTTACTAAGTCTTACCCGTTTTCCTGAAATAATGTCTCATATCCCTATTTTCTCCAGTCACACAGCCACCACTCCCTAGTTAAGGCCCTTCTCACCTCTTGCCAAAACTATTATAATAATGTCCTAATTGATCTCCCTGTCTGAAGTTCTGCCCCTCTCCAATCCATCTTCCACATAGCTGCCAAAGTGATCCGACCTAAGGCACAGGTCTCCTTATGTGATTCCTCTGGTCAAAATATCTTAGTGGTTTCCTGTTACTTTTACCATTAGATAAAAACATGTATATTTGGTATATCATATAAAATTCAGCTCCAGCATCTCCTTCCAGGCTTGTATATTATTCCCCTTCATGAAATCTATGTTCCAACCAAACCTGCCTTCTTGTAGTTCCTCCTATATCTCTGTTTTCCATGCTTTAGCATAGGCTGTCCCCCATGCCTGGAATCTATGCCCTCCTCACCACTGCCCCTTAGAATTCTTCATTTCCTTTGATCCTTCTACTTAAGACTTAACTCATCTTTCACCTGCTATTGCCTCCAACCTGAAATTAGCTGTATATATGAAATTTGTATATATTATGGATGAGTAAATATTGTCTCCACTTATAGAAAGTCTGCTCCCTGACGATGCCCCACAGGGCAGGAAGGCTAGCCTAGCTGAAGCAGCAAGGCAGACTGAAGCAGGGACAGGAAGCAGTATGTTCCAGGCAAATCAAACCTCCACCCCCTTGACCACAGTCTCCCCTTAGACCCTAATGGAGAAAGCCCAGGTTCGATTGATTCCAGCCCAGTGCCCTTAGCCTTTGTCCTGAAAAGCAAGCCCTTTGGAGATGTAGCCTGGAATTTTTTTTAACTTGATTTTACTGATTTCTAAGAATGGAAACTGGCTCCCAATGCAATTTGATTGGAGACTTTTGTGGTCTTGTTAATTCATTGACTGCTGTAGTCCTTTGTGGCATGATCATTTTAATGCTATTATGTTATGGTGCTAAAGATGTGATTGGGTAGAGCTGCTGATGGTGGTTTGGACCAGTTGGACTTGTGGATCCCCAGAAGTTGTTTTTTACATAATTTTAGAGCTGTATGGGACCTTTCTCATGTAATCCAACACCTTTATTTTACATGAGAAAACCGTTGCAGAGAGGGAAAGTTGTTTGCTCAAGCTGTCATAGCTAGTAAGTGACAGAGCCAGAGCTAAAATGCAGGTCTTGTAACTGCTAACCTGCACTGAGGGAGAGATGAAAGAGTCAATGTGCAATGTGCAAGGTGAGTCAAACTGCCACCACCACCACTTTGACCACCATCTCCCCTCAGACCCTGATGGAGACATCCCAGGACTTTGACCCCAAGAGCCTTAAGAATAGCAGGGTCCCCCAAACCTGCTTCCAGCCCAGCCCCCTTAAATATCACTGAGAGGAGAAATCATTGTGGAGATGGGGCCTATCTTCCTCAGCACCTCCTCCCACCTCAAACCACTGTGGCCATTTCCAGCCCAGCTCTCCCAGTAATTATCCAGGGAAGAAACTCTTGTGGAGAAGGGGCCACCCATCCCTACCAACCGCCTACCAGCTGCTCCCCACAGGGCAGGAAAGACAGCTTAGCTTATGTAGCAAGGCAGGCTGAAGCAGGGACAGGAAGCAGCATGTTCCAGGTAAATCAAACCTCCACCCCCTCCACCACCATCTCCCCTCAGACCCTGATGGAGAAAGCCCAGGATCCATTGCCTCTGGCCCAGTGCCCTTAGCCTTCGTCCTAAGAAGCAAGCCCTATGGAGATGCAGCCTGGAAACAGGCAGGTACCTCCCTGACTATCTCAAGACTCCAAGCAGCTCCCAAAATGTGAATTGCAGCAAAGGTGCCAGTCTGCATTAGCAGAGGAAGTTCCTCATGAGGAGCTTAAACACTAGTGAAATCACCTCCTTCAAAAAATTTAAATGTGATTGTGGATGTGAAAGCATTTTGAAAAGTATAAATATGTTGCATAAATGCCAGGCATTATTTTTGTAGCCATTGTTGGGGGTCTTCACCTTTTTATTCCCTCTCCTCTAGACCCGATTTGGGAGATGGCATGAGTCCAAGGACATGGATGCCCTTATGGATGCTTGTAAATTTTCATGCATTCATTTTTTGTGTCAAAGAACCAATTTCAGTAGAGGATTCAATCCATTCCATTTGGTAAATTTAATTTACCAAAAGCTTATTAAACTCTGCATCTGGTAGGTGCAATGTGCCGGTGATACAAATTTTTTTTTTAAAGACAATGCCTGCCTTCAAGGAGCTTATCTTTTAGTAAAACAGATAATAGGGTTTAATTAAAAAAAAAACAGAGATTTGGAGTCAGAGGTTCTTGGTTCATATCCCAGTCTTGTTACTTGCACCTGAGACCTTGGGTAAATCATTGTACCTTTCTACATCTCAGCTTCCCCATTTATAAAATGAAAGATTAGACTAGAATCTAGTTGGAGGTATCAAACAGGGAAGCTGAACTCTTCTCAGTGCTGTTCAAACATATTAAAATGTAATTGGGAAATATTTAACTAAATTAATAAAAATACAATAGAACATAGATAATGTGGGTTTTTTTCTTGAGTCACTATGGGCCTGCAAGGATTTAGTCTTGACCCCACTGGACTAGATGACCCGTTACGGTCCTTAAAACTCAAAATCTGTGATCCTATGAACACACATAAGTACAATACAAGTTACCAATAATTACTTGTCCAGAAGCCAGATTCAGATTAGTGTCAGCTTCGGGGGTGTGGGAGAGAAGCATTTCTTTTTCCCTGCCTGCTAGTGTAAGTAAAAACCAATCCATACCTCTAAGTAGGCAATGTAGATTGAAGAGACCTAAAACAGTCCAACCACTTCGGAGTTATTTTTAAAAAGGATTTTTCATTAAACATATGCACCTTGATCTCTTTAGCTGAGAATAATTCCCCTCAGCTGCTAGTATCATCTTATTCATGAACATCTGGCATCTGCTTTGTATGAATCTTATATATCCTTGTTTATGTGTATAGTCTCCTCTGACAGAATGTAAGCTTCTTGAGGGCAGAGGGTTTCACTTTTGTTTTTGTATTCGCAGTGCCTAACTCAATGCCTGGAATACAGCAGATTCTTAATAAGTGTTTGCTGGTCAATTCTTGATATTAGCTCATGCTTTCCTTACTCATGCAGAATCCCTTCATAATTGCCTGTGATTTAAAATGTAATACTATACTTGGCATCTTCTACCAGACAACTGGAAAAAATAAAGTTTTGCAGACACCCTACTTGCTTCTGATATGATCAAGAAACTCTCCCTCAACTTTCCTAAATTTAAATAGAGTTGAGAGAAGTTCTCAAAGAAGTTCTCAAAGTGTAGTCCAGATACTAGGAGATCAAAATTTTCACAAAACAAGATTTTAAAATTTATAATTAGCAAATATTAATAGATTCATAATCCACCTAAAAAAAGCTCTTTGGGAGTCAGAGGTCCTCAGTTTTTAGGAGTGTAAAGGGGTCCTGAGACTAAAAAGTTTGATAACCATTGTCCTACATCACAATTTATGGATCAAAACAAAAACAAAAGCAGAAACTCAGACACCTAAAATAGATATTCTGAAAAATGAGTTTAGAACATAATTTAGAAAATGTCTTAAATTCCTCAGAAAATGCTTATTACTATGAAGTATTGTTATTCAATAAGAACTCACTATCTAAAATAAATTACCTTCTCACTTAAAAAATCTGCAATAAAAGAGCATTAAAAGACTTCTAAATACTCATCCTCTTTCCCCTCTACCATCTCTAGCAAGTTTATTTTTTCCTGAGGCAGCTAGATGGCACAGGGACAAAGTGCTAGGCTAGAGTCAAGGAAGATTCAAGTTCAAATCCAGCTTCAAACATATAGTAGTTGTATGACCCTGAGCAAGTCACTTACCCTTTGACTCCCTCAGTTTCCTCAACTGTAAAATGGAGAAAATAGAGCACCTACTTCACCGGGTTGTTAAGAGCTTCAATAAAACACTTAAGTGCAATGCCTGGCACATAGTAGGTGTTCAATAAATACTTCTTCCTTTTAACATTAGCCTTGAAAAAAAATCATGAAATTTTTCTATGTGTGCTTCTGTCTTTAAACAGCTAGACTCTAAAAGGTCAGTTTTCTGAGAGAAACATAAAAATAAAAATCGCTAATCACTTTTTTATGGCACACTTTTAGATATATTTTAAGTGATCAAAAAGCTACTTCTAATTTTCCTCAGGCGTCTGATCAGTTTTTTAAATGAAAACACAAAACACTTTAAAAGTTTAAAAGTTTATTGCCAAACTTGATGCAGACCCCTTTTTAAGATTACAAAGAAAAAGACAAGATTAACAGATTTCAGGTGAGGTAACAAAAAGGAAAGGCTACTGAGAATCATGCACTTCCTGTCCAGTTACAGCTGTAGCAAACAAGTACATTAAAGTACATCCAAGTGCATGTGACAAAAAACTCCAAATATTTCATTTTCGGTCAGAGCCCATGCTGAAAAACTAAAATACAAAATGCATTCCACAGTGCTTGGGCTATTTATTTGTTAATTTGTTCACTTTGCAGTTGTGAATCTACATTCAAGTTGGGGGCTATAACACAATAAATTGAAAAAAATTTAGATAAGCAACAGAATAAACTGTGATCTGAAAAATCTTATCAACTTAATTTTTTATTCCCAAGATGAGTAGCAGTGTAAAGTATATGCAACAACAACAAAACCTTTTTCAGAAAGAATTACTCAAAACTCTAAATGGGAAACAAAAGAAAAAATAACTCTAAACTCATAATTTGTGATATTCTTACAAATGATTGCTACTACTACATACAGAGTATACCCAAAGCAAATTATGTTCATTTGAGATGAGCTGAGAAGATAAATAGCCAGAAATGGCCTTGCTATTTGATTTTAAACATGGCTTCATCTTCTAATAGGCCATCACCCTAAGAGTAAACTATGTTATCACCACTACAAATATGTTTTCTTTTTTTTATTTAACTTTTTATTTAATAAAAGTGTAGGTTCATATAATCTAAGATCTACCAACTACTGCCAACTGATTACTAATGCCCAATGGAGCTACTGCTGAACGTGTAGGAATACGAGTATGATGAATTCCCAGATGCATCAAAGCTGCCTCTCCTGGATCCACTACGTGAGCCAGAGCGAGATCCAGATCGAGACCCTGAACGGGATCCTGGAGCAGAAGATACATTATATGGGCTTGGCAAACCCTTGGATGAAACTGAAGCTGCTTCCAGCAGACGTAACCCAGTGATATCCTCCACCATGGATCGATTCATAGCATCTTTGTAGGATATTTTCAGTTTGGTTTTGGGGCAGGTCAAGATCTTGGCATAGTTGCCAGTGTCGTGAAGCTTCTGAGCGGCTCGGCCATCGATCAACCCTTTTCTGATAGCCTCTTCAGAACTTATCCTTCCATGAACCTCTGGGTCAACCAGGCCTCCAGTGAGGTACTGGAATTCCAGGAAGCGCTGACCCGCCTCATAAGGTAGCCATTTCTCCTTAACTGCTTCTGCTGCTGACATCTTCTTCTTCCCCTTCACACCTTCAAAGCCGATAAATGCTTTCTGTGCTGGCTTCAGCCTGGTTGCCATATCTTGGTCAATGAGGCCCTGGGAGACCGCATCTTGAAGTGAAAGCTTCTGACCTGTGGTGGGATTGATGATGCCTCCTGTACAGGCTTGAGCTTCCAGCAGCCTCTGACCTGTGATGCTATCTACAATCCCTCTCTCTATACCTTCTGTAATTGAAATTTTCTCCAAGTTTTCTGTGTCAAAGATGGCTGCAATGGGGCTTGTCTCCTCTAAGGCGTCAGACCAAGAGCTGCTCCGGATAGTTAAATTTCTGATGGTGGAAATGCTGGAGGTCTTGCTTACAGATTCATGTCGAGAACTACTGAAAACTTCATCTCCACCACTACCACTGCCAATATTGCTGGTACCATTTTTTAAGGAAATCATATCAGCAAACTGAGTGAGGCTAAGGCTGCCAGAGCGGTATTGATCAAAGAATTTTCTGTCAACAAGGCCTTTATCAATAGCATCTTGAATATCATACTGACTGCCTGTTTTCCTGTCAACTAGGACCACCCTGGTGGACCCATCTGATCCAGTGATGGTTATTTCTTCCCACTCACACTCTTGCTCACAGAGTTCTACAAAAGTGTCATAATCAATAAGACCCTTCTTGTAAGCCTCTTGAACAGACATTTCCTTGTTGGTTTCTGGGTCTACTATGACCACTCTGCGTTTCCTCAGTGTATTCTTTTGTGATGTCTGTATTGGTTTCTTCTTTTCCTTTAAGGGCAAAAGACAGAGTCCTGTTTCTTCATCCTTCATGCATCTTTCTTTCAGTTGCAAGTAGGTGAGATTTTCCTCTGTATTTGGATCAAAAAATCCCTTTGTGTCATCACTGGGGTCTGACAAGATTTCACTTAACTCTTCATTAAAATAACCCCTCTTGTAAGCTATGTCAACTGGTAAACGATGGCTCTCTTTTGGGTCAATGATTCCACCTGTTGCAATCTGAGCCTCCAATAATCGAATTCCGTGACCCTTCTCAATAAGCTCTTTGTTCATGGCTTGGAACAAGGAGATGATATTTCCTGTTTCTGGATCTTTATACCCAGTAACAGCCCGTTCAGCTGACAGGAGTTTCTCTTTAAATTCAATGCCTACTAACCCTCGTTTGTAGGCTTCTTCCACTGGTAGCCTCAGGTTGCTGACAGGATCCACAATAAAACCAGTGGCTGCTTGAGCTTCTAGAAGTTCTAGGGCAGTACCAGGTCTGACCAAACCAATTTTCATGGCCTCATAAATGCCAAGCTTTTGTTTGGTGGTCTCATTGTAGATGCCCGCTATACAGCTGGAACCCTGGAGGAAATCCTTAATTCTCTCACCAACCTCATCATAGGAAATCTGGCCTGATTCGAGTTCATTTACAGTGGATGGACGCAAAATTCCAGAATCCACCAGTTCAGTGACTGTGACAGGCTGTCTGATTCCTTGGAATGACATGCTCCTCTTCTGTACTAACAGTAAAAGCAAGCCAGTGTGTGGTTCAATTCTACATCTTTCTTTCAGCTGCATGTAACTGACCTTCTTTTTGTTGATGGGGTCCACAAAGTTCTTCTGACTGTCTCGGGGATCATTAAGAGACCTATACAAGTCTCGGTCAATTAGCCCACGGGACAAAGCAACATCTTTCGGCAAAAAGACACTGTTAATGGGGTCTATCACACCCCCTGAGGCAATCTGAGCCTCTAACAGACGCATTCCTGTTTCTCTGTCAATCAGATTTTTCTTGATGGCCTCAGAAACAGATACTGTCTTGCCTGAAAATGGATCATCAAAGCCAGTGACAGCCTTTTCTGCAGTATAGATCTGCTGCCGATCATCAAAGTCAATGAGGTCCCGAGCAATGGCACTGTCAACAGTCAGCTTCTCATTCCTATGGGGGTCAATCACACCTCCTGTAGCTGCCTGGGCCTCCAGGAGCATTACTGTGGATTCTGGAGTAATAAATTTCTTCCTCTTGGCTTCCACCAAAGAGTACTTTTCTTTAGGGGAAGCAGAAGCCCCAGCGATAGCACCTGCTCCACGAAGGAAAGGTTGGATTTCAGAAGCAACTTCTTCTACTGACTTTTTCCCCCTCAACAGTTTGTCCAAAGTGGTTTTGTCTATCAATTGACATTCGTAGAGTTGCATTGCAGTCACCTTTTTCCTCAGCCCATCAAACATCAGTTTTGAGGGGTCAATGGACCATTCATCTTCAGTCTGAGTCTCCCTATGAGATCCATATGGACGCTGTTTGAGTTTATCAATCTCTCTCTGCATTCGACAACGTTCCGATTCCATCTGTGACTGTGTTTCCCTGGTGGAGTCCTCCAGCTTTCGCCTGCACCTGTCCTCAATCCTCTTGATCTCTGCTTGCAACCTTTCAATCTCGCTCCTTAGGCAGTTCTTCTCTCTTTCACTCTTTTCTCTTTCAGATTCAATCTTCCTAATAGCCTCTTCCTTGCGGGAGTACTGACTTTTCCACTGATTTAAGTCATTCTGAATTTGCTGTTTCTCACACTCCAGTCGCTGTTTCACCCTAATCTCTGACTCCAGTGTGGCTTTTGCACGATTCAGCTCATCTTCTAGCCTTTGCAACCTTGCCTTGTCTTGTTCCAGGACTTTGATTTTTACCAGAAGACTCTCTCTTTCTTGCACAACTTGACTGCATTGATTCTTGGATTCATGAATCCTATTAGATGCCTAAAATTAAAAAATAAAAATAAATGAAAGAACAATATTGATTATATCTCTCATAATTAAACCTCTTTGGTGCTAACATTTTCACTTTACATGTGCGTACTCTTTCCCTTCCAATCTGTGTCCTCATTTTACTTTTAGCTTGTCATTCTACACATTTGTTTTGTTTTTTTTTAAAGTTTATTCCATTACCACCCAACATCTATTGCTTCATACTCATCACTCTTATCTCCTCAAAGGAAATGGGGAAATTGCAACCCTAATTACCTTACGTTTATCTCTTATGTGAGTTTAAGGGAATTCTGATCTTGTTAAAGCTGATCATACCTATTATACTTACACTAAAATATTTAATATAGCAATGTAAATATTTTGTATTTGTATGTTGTCATATACATGGGCACATACATACTTCTACTGATATAGACACAGTTCTACTCCCACACAAATATTGTCTATAGCAGTCACATATATTAGAAGTTAAAGAAATCAATTTTTAAAAATTAGGTGTTAAAGGAAATCGAACCCAAAAACAAACCCAGGAACACTAAAACTGACATGCAAAGAAGCAACATGCTGAGAACAGTGAAAAGAGAAGAGAGTAATCAATAAGCAAGAAAAGGAAAAAAAGATAACCTGCATAGAAAACAGCTTTGTTGGGTGGGTAATTTTTAATTCAAGCAAATTTGAAATTATACAGATATATGTTAAAGATCCCTCTAAACATATATATATTTACACATATAAAGCATATATTCAAATAAAAGGATTGTCTAGTACAGGGGTGGGGAACCTGCAGCCTCAAGGCCACACGTGGCCCTCTAGGTCCTCAAGTGGGGCCCTTTGACTGAATCTAAACTTCATAGAACAAAATAAAAGGATTTGTTCTGTAAAACTTGGACTCAGTCAAAAGGCCACACCCAAAGGCCACATGTGACCTTGAGGCCTCAGATTTCCCACTGCTGGTCTAGACTCTGATACACAAAGCAAGACAGACACAGTCCTGCCTTCATAGGAGATTACCCCAAACGTCCTACCTGCTCTGGAGGACTCCAAAGAGTTACACGCAGGTTATACACATATTAAATTTTGGTTAAGGGTCAGGGCGTAAGGACAAATAGCACCAAAAGTTCTTGTCAAGCAGTTTTCTCGGTTATGATAGATGGTCATGCTTTAGTAGACACACAGCAGATAAGTATAACTACAGTTAGTTGGAATAGCAAAAGACTAATTAAGGTTAGAAAACAATGTGAGTGAATTATTTGAGAAAGAGTAAAGCCATGATCAAATATTTGTGAATAATACCTCTATAGCCTGCTTTTGGAATTTTTCAATTTCCTGTCTCAAATTTTCCCTTTCTCTCTGTAAATCATTAATCAGCCCCTGTAGTTCCAAGGTTCGGTTGTTGCTGATCTGTAGTTGGCTTCTTAGGTCAGAGATAGTAGCATTTTTATCACTATCGGCTTCACTCCTTCCTCTTCGTAGATCATCATATTCCAGTCTCAGGTTCCGCAACTCTTCCTCTAGCATCAAATGTTCTTTGGTCAGGTTCTCTGTGAGACACTGTAGCCTCTCTATTTCTATCTTACTTTCATTCAGACTCCTGCTCTTGTCTTCAATTGCCTTCTGGAAGTGCTCATTTCTCAGGTGAGCCTGTTTAACATTCTCTTGTTCCTGGACCAATTGCCTCCTCAGGGTTTCGACCTCTGATGCCAGTTTCCTCAACTCCTCTTGAGTTCTCTGCTTCTCTCTCACGTGCCCGTCTACCACATCTCTTTGCTGTCTGAGATCGTCCTCACTTCTCTTCTTGCTAATGGATGCTTGCTCCAGCTGCTGCGTCAGGTTGGTGATTTTGATTGCTTGCTCTTTCAAAGATCTCCGCATGGACTCCAATTCATCTTCTAGCTTCTTCCTCTTAGAACATTCATCAGAAGAGGTTTTCTTCAGCCTGTTCAATTCATCTTCTACTTTCTGTTTTTGGAACTGGAGCTCTTTTAGAGAACTTTGGAACCGTGAAATATCTTGGTCCTTTACTGTTCTCTCCTGAGAAATTCTCTCGTAGTCAATTTTCAGGCGTGTCAGCTCTTGTTCGTGAACCTTCAGTATGTTTATTGTCTCCGTGGCATTACTGTTTGCTTTCTGCAGATCATACTGTGTTCTTTGTAATTTGGCGTTTTCATCCTCCAGACATTTTCTCTGGTTTGTTTCAGTTTCTATCAACTTTTTGAGTCTTTCAAGTTCTTTGTTTTTATCCTGAATGGTTTTGGCAGCATCATCAAGTGACTGCTTATATCTTGTGCTCTCTTCTGAGCGCATTTGGGTGACCTGTTTCAGCTCAAACTCCAGCTGCTGTTTCCTCTGAGTGATCTCAGTGCCAGTCGCCTTCTGCTGCTGGACATTTTCTTCCACCCTCCTAAGATTCTCTGTGGTCTGAGCTAAAGTGTTCTTCAGTCTCTTAATTTCCTCTGATAAACTCCTGTTTTCTCTGGTTAGATTATCTATCTGAGTTCGGTAGCCACTGGTGTCCTCTTCTTTTTGCTTGGTAAGCTGGTGGAGTGTGGTCTTGGTGATGTTTATCTCTGTTTCAAACTGGTTCTTTAAGCTAATAATTTCCTCATCATAATTGTTTCTTACCTTACCTAGCTCATTCTCATAGTCCCAGCGGCGCTTAGCCTCCTCCTGATACTCAACTTTGAGTCTTTCTATTTCTTTGTTTTTATCCTGAATAGTCTTTGCAGCCTCCTCGAGAGACTGCTTGTGCCTGGCATTGTCCTCTGAGCGCTGCTGAATCACTTGTTTAAGCTCGATCTCTAGCTGCTGCTTTTTTTGCATAATCTCGGACCCACAAGCTTTTTGCTGAATAGCGTTTTCTTCAGCCCGCCTCCGCTGCTCTGTGGTCTCCAAGATGCTGTCATTCAGCCTGACAATTTCATCTTTCAGATCTCGGTTTTCTCTCGAGAGTCGATCAATCTGGTTTCTGAGACCTTTGGTATCATCCTCCTTTTGCATGGATATTTCCTTGATTGTGGTCTTCGTAATATTAATTTCTGTCTCATACTTGTTCCTTAAATTACTCATCTCCTCATTATAGTGGTTTCTTACCTTTGCCAGCTCATTTTCATATTCCCTCTTCCGGGCGCCCTCCTCTTGAAGAAGAACCCTCAACCTTTCTATCTCGTACTCCTTCTCCTTGATGGCCTTTTCAGATTCTAATCTTTGCCACCCAAGGTTTTCCTTTTCGCATTGCCTTGCTTTCTGCAGCTGGTCATAGTCATTCTTCTGTTGGTCAAATCTGTCCTCCACAGATTTTCTTTTCCTCTTTTCATCTTCAATTTCATAAGTGAGTCTTGTGATCTTCTCATTGAGCTCTTTTATCTGCCCATAGCACTTATCTAGGTTTTGTTTAGCTGATTTTCCATCCAGCTCAGCTTGTCTCTTTAGCTCCTCCAGGCTCACAAGTTTTGCTCTGAACTGGGAGCACTCTGCTTGGTATTTCTGCAGGTTCTGATCCAAGAATTTGTTCTTGTTACAGTTTTCAGAATTGGCATCTCTGGCGAGACGAAGTTCTTCTTCTAAAACTTCAATTTTGGTGTTTTTCAGCTGTTGGATTGAAAGCATAAAACATGTTGAAGTAACTGCATTCCTAACGCAGGATTTAAATACTTATTCTGAGTGTGTGTATACATATACGTGTGAGTGGTTAAGGAGATGGCCTCAGAGTCAAGAAGACCAGGGTTCAAGTCTCACCTCTGACACCTACTAACTATGGGATCTTGGCAAGTCAATTTACTTCTTATGGCCTTCTGACAAGTCTCTCAGATCGTAAATTACTGAAAAGTAGCTGATCTGCTTTGGATGAGGAAGTTTCCTCACCAGGAGCTCCTTATATCAATAAAATCACAGATCTGCATAAATAAAGTAGACAGGAAACAGCTATATACAATATCTGACATTGCAAAATTTTTCTTGTTTTGAACTTTATTTAATCATTCATCTTTTTTTTAAAAGCTCAACTGTAAAATAAGGAAGATATCTGAAAACTGTGCCTTTGTTTTATATATATGTTTCTCTACTAACTATTGGTCACACTCTAGGTGAGCAAATTTTTGTTTATTTATTTGGGAAGATTGTGAATTTATTCTTTTTAAATCTTGAACTTAGCAGTCAATCAATAAACATTTGTTAAGTGCCTACTACATGCCAGGAACTGGGGATACATAAAGAGACAAAAGTCAGTCTCTGACCTCATGGAGCTCACAAACAAATAAATGTCTCCAAATACAGGACCAAACAGAACACAAGGATTGCTCGTGAGACTATACATGTCCCTCAGGGAATGCTTGCTCTTCCCTTAAGCATATAAGAAACTCAGTATGTAACTTTCAAAGCTATCCAGTTGTAGACCTGTGAATTGGGAAAAGGAGTTCCTGAGGAGAAGAAACTTCCTTTACCACTGCAGACAGAAACACTAAGCAATAAAGAAAATGTATTATACTCTCAATATGAAGAATTTTATCAGTCTAGTGCATACTGACTACAAATTTAAAAAAAGAGATCAATAAATGTCCTTAGTCAAATGTTTTTAAAAATCTGTCTTAATGGCATTTTCAGGTGACCAAAATTTGGCTAGGAACAACAAATGGAATGTCTTTCATAACCCTGTTGTTAGAGCACAAGATTACCATCTGCCTAATAGGTGAAATTAATTTTATCAAATGTTTTACATATATGGTTACATTTGATGAGGAAATAAAACTTTATTCATGTCTTATCCAATTCCATATAATAGCGAGGCAATGAGGACAAAGTTCTCCCGTGTTTTGTTATTTATGTTAAAAGAAGTCACCCAAACAAATTACCTTCAGGTCATCTAAACTCTTTAACATTTCACTTAGGAATCTGTAATAGTCTCCAGATCTTGTAAGTAGCTCTATGTACCGAGCATGAATTTCTGCAGCCTTAAGGGGGGAAAAACAAAAAATAAAACATCATATTCCAAAGAGCCTTACAAAAAAGTTTATCAGTATGTCTTCTGAAATAACAATATATTTTAGCATGAGCTGTATTTTAATATAATTTGTTTCTTTTCTAATCCTTTGTATTTCATTTTATGCATTTAAAAATATTATTCTAAGATGGGGTCCCTGGCCTTCATCAGATCTACCAAAGTGGTTTATGGTACAAGAACCCCTTCACTGTCCTATTTTAGATGTGTGTTCTTTAAGATTTTTTTGAAGACAGATTCAATTCAGTTATCATTTCTTATAAATTCCCTATGTAAACTACTCAAAACTCTTTTCAACCACCCCAATTTAAATATATTTTTTCAGACTGCAATATTATGAATGACAGATTAAAACTTAACTGAAATACTTTATATAAAAAGGGCTTTCATTAAGGAGTCAAGAATTGTCAAAAGGAACAAATGCACCATGTTGTTTATAATATCCCCCCCCAATTCAATGTAATAAATTTTAAAGATTATTATAGACCTCTTGCAGAATGACCCCTGAAGGGGACTGAACCATAGTTCTCTTAATAGGTATATTGAGCAGAGTTTCCAGTCCTGAAGTGTATGATGCAAGCTGAAGTTCATAATCCTGAACAAAAAAAAAAAAGAGGTTAAGAAAAATAAATTCTTAAAGGATCTCAGAAAAATAATTTAGGTCTAAATTTCCTTAAAAATTTACATCCCGAGGAATAAATGCAAAACGGAGGCCATATGAGGTCCTAAGCATATAAATATGTGATATGACATTGCTTTCTCATAAGTAGTACATATCTACCCTAAAATGTACAAAATAAAAAACTGAATTATTCCCAAGGAAACTGAGGGTGTATTCAAATTTAGTAATAAACATTTATAATTTTTTCTCTACTATAAGGAATAAGAGCCACAATCTCTACCCTAAGAAGCTTATATATGTTAAATACATAGGTAAACATAACATGAGTAACATTCTTAGTGAAATATTAATATGGTCATAAAGAACAACATACCTTAATGGAATTTGAACAGAGTTCTGCAATCTTCTGTACTTCTTCTGATTTGTCTCGTTTACCAGATATTTCATTGTGCAAATTCTATAAAAGAAATGTAATTTATAAGGCAATATGTAATTTATAAGGCAATTTTGAAACAGATGTCATCATCCTTTAGCCTCCCTAATTAGTAGTCAAGGATATTCAGGCTCATTCTTACTAGTCAGCCTTTTCAGAATTACAATATGTATGTGAAGGAATGCTTTTCACAATAGATATCTGCACGTCTTTGCAGTTATTTCAACTGATTTTGCCCTAAAGATTCTTTAATTATGTTAAAAATACTAAAGGTTTAATATTTCAAACCACAAAAAGTAAATACCCTGAACTCTAATTCCTGTCAGAACAGATGACTGTTTAAAACTGTTCCATAAAAATGGCTTATACCTTCTGTTCATTCAAATATTTCATAACTGTACTGGAATCTCCAAACTTCATGGATTCCAAAGAATCCTGGCGACGTTTGGCATCATAGATCCATTTGCAGAATGCTTGATAATTATCACGGTAATTTCTCAGCTGCTTAATTTGTTTTTCTAAATCCCATAATCTGTTCATAAGAGATATAATGAAATTATTAGGACTTCATTAAAATGGCTCTTAACTTGTAATTCCACTAACTTTTGGGTAAGATAATTAGCATTAGATTTCATTTACACAGGCTTTTTGGGAAAGACAACACAAGTTTCCTACTACATCCCAACAGTCATACTTAGAACTTAGAGAGAATACAACATTATGCTGAACAATAGCTCAGTGGTGTGATACTGACTGTATCTCCCTAAGCACCAGATCATTTTAGATATGAGGGAGAATAAGGCCCATATCCTTTCAGGTTAGAGTGTGACATTCAATTCCATTCCATTCAATAAATAAATAATTAATTAATTAATTAATTAAATTAACCAACTACTATGTACCACGTACATAACCAACTCCTGCGTACCAAGTGCCATGCTAAGCTGTAGGAAACATACGAAGTTTAGGCAAGATATGATCCCAGCCCTCATAGATTTCATAGTTTAGATATGTCTTTATTCATAATGGCCTCTCTTCTAACCACTTCAAGAGCTGGTCAGAGAAAAGAAGTAACAAGTGACCAACTATTTTCAGCATTTACTTACCCATTTCACCCACAAAGCAGAATCACTTAAACCCCCCCCCATCACTTTAAGAGTAATAATATCTCAGTAATAACTCAACAAAGGAAAAGGTCTCATAAGGAAGCTCAACCAACCTGAAATCTATCTGTTTATCTATTCTTTGCCAACGATCTGACAACTGGTTGACTTTGTCACTGAACTTCCCAAGATCCAAATCATAAAGTGGATACTGTTGGCAAGTCTGGGAGTGGATCTGCAGAGCTTTCTGTAGCTCAGTCTTCATGGTAGCCAACAATGACTTCTTCAGGTTCAAATCATTTTTTATTTTCTGGGAGAAAACAAGATGAGTAATAGTGAATCCCTTCCTTCAACTCCATGCTGTTGAACACTGATGACAAAATCAAAATGGCACCATTTTTAAAAACTGTCTTTCTAAAAATTTTGCAATCATGCCAATACCTCAATAGTTCAAATAATTTAGTCTTCTAATTTTTATTTGCTAAAGATACCTACTGATAATGAGTTGAAAAGACAATATGGTCAAATGAATCTAATGATCCTGAAAAAAAAACCATGGAAACCTAGTGAAACTACGTCTAGCTATCTTTGTGTTTGTGTATGTATCTATACACACATATGCGTATATACATACATATATGTAAATTTATACATGCCTATATAGCTTTATAAATTGGGTATTGGGCCTTTGCCATTTTCCATAAAGTGAAACAAAATACCTTCAGTCCACAGCGGTAAGCCTCCACTTTATCAAGGTCTAAACAAACAGTTTCCTCTTCAGTGAGGCGGGATTCATACACTTTCAGCATGTCTTCTGTCTGGAGAATAGCCTGAAGTAGTCCTCTCACTGAACATAAGCTGTAATAAGCAAAAGAGTTAAAATTAGAGTGCCAACAAAGTGGTGTAATGGTGAATAGAGCCTTAATATTACTAATAGCTGGAATTTATATAATGCTTTATAGTTTATAAAGCACTTTCACTTACATTAATTCTCATTTAATAATCAGGAAAACCCTTAATCCTAAATGGTAACTAATAAAAGTATTTTAGTCCCAGGTTGCAGATGAGGAACTCAGGGCTTAGTAATGTGCCTTGCTCAGGGTCACCTAACTAACAAACAGGGAATCATAACTTGAACCAGAATCTACTTCCAATTCTAACCTTAGCATTCTTTCCATTCCATTCCATTGCTCCCCAATTATAAATAAGAAATGTAGTAATTTTAAAAAAAATTTTATACAATTTTTAAACTACATAGGCACTAAGTTCTCCCCCCCCCGGCCCCCATAGTGATTCAACCTAATATCTTCACAGGCAGAATTATGAGGCCTAATCCTTAAAGCATGATCTCCGAGGGCATCTTCTCAGATGCATTAGGAACCTAAAATAATAAAGCTGAAAATGTGATCTGAAGATACTAAGGGATGTTAAGTAAACCTCCATTAAAGAACAAAAGAAAAAGAACAGCTGTGCATAGAAAGCAAGTAAGACTTTAATTACAACAGTTAAAGACTATTTTGGAAAAGAAAGATATCTCACACTATTAAGTTAATAGATTTCAAGTTCTTTACCTATTTAAGTAGCCATCTGTAATACCATTTATGTTTTCCAGTTTTTGGAATAGCCCAAATATCTCATTCTGCAAATAACAGTATTTTTCAGAACCTCTGAAGTTAGCTAACATATCTTTGAGCTGGTTGAGGACTTCAGCAATTGCTTGTGAATCATTCTGCACACCCTGTCAAAAAAAAAGAGGAAGGAATGCCTATGTCAACACATCTCAGGTGTCTCTATCTGGTTTTGTTCCACCCTTACTTAGTTCAAAGAAAGTTCACTGAATATTATTTACTCAATATTGGAAAAACAGTTGGCTTTTTCATCTTTCCTCTTCTAGAAAACTCCAAAAATATAGCACATAAATGTGGCAGCCTACAGGTAATTTGGGTTATACTGATGGAATGCAATCTAACTCTAAGAGTTTTGAGTTGAGTTGAAAGATTTTGGTTCTAATTTCAGCTCTGTCACTAGCTTTGTGACCATATACAAGTCACTTACTCTCTCTATCTGACAACCCTTATTTATGAAGTGTGCCCTGAAGAGCTGGAATAAGAGAATCTGGAGGAGTAGTATAAACTTATACATAACACTAAGACACATTCAGGTACTATGGATTTATCTTTCTGATCCCCAGTCACCATGACAACTCTGAGAATGGCTGGTACTTTGACAGCTAACATGGACACGGCAAAGATCTGTGGTATATGCTTGGTGGTATTGTAGAAAGGGCACTGGAACTGAAGTCAGCAAAGACCTGATCTGAATCCTGCCTCTGACACACTTCAATTGTTATCTGACCACAGGCAAGTCAGTTACACTCTCTGAGCTTCAATTTCCTCATTCGTAAAATGGGGACAATACCTGTAGCACCTACTTCACAAGGCTATTAAGATCAAATGAGATAATGTATGGAAAGTGCTTTTGTCAGTCTTAAATGGAATGTAAGTCATAGTTCAGTTTCAGGCTACTAAAGCTTAAGATACCTACCTAGTATTACTCTGATCAAAAAATGGAAAGCAGAACTCTAAACAGTTGAACTGCCATTTACAATACAGTCAGATAGTGAAGGCATTTTTAAACAGCACATGTTTTTTTAGTCAGCAAAATCTAGCATTATTTATAGAAATGTAGCAATGTAAAAATGGTGAGAAATGGGTTCAAAACTCTTAGTAACATTAAGTGGGTTCAGAAACAGGAATACCATTGGACAAAAGCAACCTGATTCCTCAGAATTGACAATGTGTCATCTTTATTAGAAGAGGGCAAAAAGAACGCTATTTATAATTTAGATTACAGTTGTGTGCATTTTTTGGAGAGGAAAACACGCCAACTTTGTCATAAATTACACCACCCCAGAAACTGGGGAACATGCAAAAGGAAAAATTGTTCCTTTGAATAAATTAAATTTATTAATAAAATATGGTAGGTATTTAGAAGATATAAAATGACATCTCTCCCATATAAATATAGGCTCTCCAAATCCAGACCGGTATAGTAACACAGTGGACAACCTTGTGTGGCTTCATAAGGAGAAAGAAGAGAGAGAGTAGCTCTCACAAATACAAAGGTACATATTATATGTACTCTATATCTAAACATACCCCAACTATATACCTTAAAATAAGGTATGGCCTGCCTATAACCTGTCATAAAGCAAATCAATAGTAGTATAAGATTAGCGCTCCTGACATGCAGCCCCTCATCCTGACTAAATGTCCCCACAGAAAGAGTAATAATGCTAGTAACAATAATAGTTATTATTAACATTTATGTAAGCGATTTAAGGTTTGCAAAGCACTTTATATACATTATATATCTTTTGATCCTCACAACAACTCTGTGAGGTAGATTCTATTATTATCATCCCCATTTTACAGATGAGGAAACTGAGGCTGAGTTTAGTGACTAGCTCAGAGTCACACAACTAGTAACCACAAGCTGTCAGAGGCATTTCTTCCCAACTCCAAGTTCAATGTTCTATCCACTAAATCATCTAGCTGAATAATCATGCTAATTGCAAAGGAAGCTTAGTTATTATTATTCTCTCTACTAGTGTCTGTATAGCCAGAGCACACATGCCTGAGTGACTAGAGTATTCTACAATGGGGCCAAGTTGGGAACCTGGTCAGAAAAGAAAACATGGGAGAATAAAAAAGCTTTCCCTGTCTCCTTTTCAGAATGCCCTCCCCATCCTCTCTATCAAAATCTTACCTCTCATTTAAGAACCATCTCAAATCCTTCTTCCACAACTCGCTTCCTGACCAACCTAGCACCAAATTACCTGTCCTTTCTCTATACCCTATTGGCTTTTACTGTTTCAACTACTCCACTGGCACTATTTACATACTGTCTTACAACAATCATTATGTGTTCATGCACGTCTTATAGCCATCGTGTAAGCCTTTATGGGGAAGAACCATCTTGTACATCTTTGCTCCCCCAACAAGAATATAATAGAAATTTGTTTTTGTACTGATTGGAAAGACTAGAAGAGAACTTTTGCCTCTTTGGCATCTTGTAAGCCTAAGAAGCAAGGAATGAAAGGAAGAAATGACAGAATTATCTCTTAGTGGTTGGGGGAAAAAAATGAAATAATAGTAGAAAGAAAACCATTAACTTTGGATAGCACTAAACTCCACTGTTTTGTTATGCATACCATGTTTCCCATACCAACTGTTTTCTGCAACTGGCAACTTTAGAAAAAGAACACTTCTATAAAAGGTTTTATCTATTGTAACATTTTTCTTTCCTCTCAGCACTTCAGAAGTACAAACCACTTCCTACAGAAAGCTAGGATGATATAAAAATTACGATTTTTAAAAGTTCACACTGAAAACACCTAGTCCTTGACCTGGTCCTTGAATAAGCTTAAGTACAATTAGAATTTACTAGAAAGTATAGACAAATATTTAATATAATTTAACAAACACATACCTTTAGTTCATTTATCTTCACTGTGATGTGGTGAGAAGAGCCTTGGTCAGCTTGAAGAATATTTTTAAGAGTCATTCTGCTCTCACAGTGCTCCATCTGCCGACGAATCTTCTGAAGTTCCAGCAATATCCATGTTTCTTGCTTGTCATTTTCTCTGTTGATTTCAATGACCTGATTTTGGTTTGGATCTTTGCCAAGATGAGTGATTTCAGTTGTAGTGACTTAAAGGAAAAAAAATCACGTAATTAAAAACTTTAAAGGTTCATAAGATGGGAAAAAGTAATAAAATCACTTGAAGACAGTAAGTATATCTTCATCATGGAACTTCTCCTTTGCCCCCTTCTGGTAAAGGGAAATGAAAAACCTTTGTTTTTCCTCATATAAATAAATGTGAAACAAAATCCATGAGTCACTGAAGCAGTCAGATTTTACTGATTGCTTACTGAAATCCATTGTTCTTCGCAAATTAAATGAGCCTGATTTTGAGATTGCTATATAAAGAAACTTTTGGTAAAAATTCCTTTCAAAAAAGTTTTCAAAAAATACCTCCGAAAGTCCAAATGGCTAAATTATACAAAATATTTCATTTGTAAACAGCCTATTTAACTCATGGAGAGAGAAAATGCAAACCTGTCTGATGCTGGTGGTGACCTGGGAGCTGTATAACCAAGGTCTGATAATGTTTCTGAGCATCAGTAAACTGAGACTGTATTTTCCGTTTGTCATCATCTCCAAACATCTCTGAGCCTTGGCTATTCCTGATGAATTCTTGGTAATGTAACTCAAGATCAGATATTGTCTTCATGTAATCTTCCTGGCGCATTGTTTTCAGCTGAAAACAAAACAGGAAGAAATTGTTAAACAAGCAATCAAGTATGTGGTCATCTTCAACCAAGCCAAAGAGGAGACTGTTGAAAAATAGCCCCACTCTAGCTGTAACTGAGGGGGTACCTGTTTTGTATGCTCAATTTAACTGAAAGAGATCCTTGGTGATTTAGAGATTATTTTGTGGATACAACTGATCCTAAGAATCCTTTTACCCTATAATATGCTTTGGATGTTCTTAAAAGAATCCATAATTAATCATATAGGATAAGACAGAAAGTGGCCAATTGGGAGTAAGAGGGAACATTGCCTCAACTCTATCTGTCTGACATCCAAGATGTATAGGGAACTAAGACAAATAAATAAGACCAAAATCTATTCCCTTAAAAGACAAGTGGTCAAAGAATATAAACAAATAATTCTCAAAGAAAAACTGCAAACTATTAACAAGTGCTCCAAGTTGTAATCAATAAGAGAAATGCAAAGCAAAATAATTCTGAAGTTTCACCTCATACCCAGCAAATTGGCAATAATGACAAAAGACAGAAATAGTTTATGTTGGAATGGTCATGGAGAGACAGTCACACTAAATACACAGTTGGTAGAGTGTGAACTGGTCCAACTATTCTGGAAAGCAATTTGAAATTACGTTTAAGAAAGTGAATAAAATGTCTTTATAATTTTGACCCAGAAATTCTACTGCTAGGCTTATATCTCAAGAATGTAAATGATAAAAAGAAAGATTCCAAAATTAGCAAGCACTTTTTGTAGTAGAAAAAAAAACTGGAAACAAATTGGAGAATGGTTAAATAAACTGTAATGAATGTAATGGAATACTATTATCCTGGAAGAAATTAATATGATGAGTAGAAAGAAGCATAAGAGGATATAAAAAGTGATGCAAGATGAGGTAGACCCAGGAAAGCAATATTTACAATGTCTACAACAATGTAAATGGAAAGAAAAACAACTAAACAACCAAAACTGAAAGCTGTGAAATTAAAGTAATCAAGCTTGGCCCCAAAGAAGAGAGGCAAATGGTACATCTCCCTTCCTTCTCTGCAGGTGTGAGAGCAAATTCTGAGTGTAGGATTTGGTATATAAGGTTGGATTTAGTTGATGTGTTGGTTAGTTTGCTGGACTACTTTTTTCCTTTTCGTGTTCTTGGTTATAGGAAGTGTTGCACATTTTAGAACATATAGGTTCTTTTCCTTTTCCCCTAATTATCCTTGGAAATAGACCTAGTAGTGGTATTGCTGGATCAAAGGGTATAGGTAGTTTAATAACTCTTTGGGCATAATTCCAGATTACTCTCTAAAATGGTTGGATCAGTTCACAATTCCACCAGCAATGAATTAGTGTCCCAATCTTTCCACATCCCCTCCAACATTTGTCCCTTTCCCCTTCTATCATTTTAGGTACTCTGGATGGAGGAGTAGAGAGAGATATATTGAAAAATATAAGTGATCTAAAAATAAAAGATATTAATGAAACCTTTTTTAAAAAGTTTGCAGCTATAAATACAAAGGTTTAGTCCTCAAAAGGGATCTGATAATTTTAAGGCAACGAGCACAATAGTTTCTAATCACAAAATAGCACAGTGATGAGTGCCTTTAAATTTTTTCTATTAGTAGTTCAGGCTTATCAGATTAATTTATGTTAAGTCTCTCTACTGTCACAGGTATCAGGTTGCCTGTTTCCCATTAGGAGTATTCTTAGGCCTCTAAATCTATCCTGGTCTGTCTCATAATAAGGCCAGTCAGCAATGGCTTCCATAGCTCTCCAACTAGCCTGATAAAATGGGTAATCTCTCAAGAAGGTCAGAGTCCCATTCCAGTCTCTCAAAGATACGTACCTTAGCAATAGTCATAGCCCTGATTTTCTCAATATCGATCATACAGTAATGCCAAGACACCAGACTCTTCATGTTGATATACAACTGATTCCACAGAGCCAAAATGGCTTCATAATATTGCTCAATCCTAGAATTAAAAGGAAAGGGATTTAAAGTTAAACTTTCAAATTTCATAGTAACAAAGAAAATAAAGGAATAACATATAATTGACCATATAGTAAGATTAAAATCGAAACAACAGTAGAAAGGGGGACTATAAGTATACTTCTAAAAATCTGTATCTTATGCAAAATAGAGAATGTGACAATATTTAACTCACTTTTTAAACTTGGCTATGGCTAATAAAATTCTCAAATTATCCATACTGATGGAGATGAGCCATCACATGGATAATCCAAAAACACTTTGCTTTCAAATATTTTGTATATCTGTATTCACATGTGTGTATTTTGGTCAACAGATTTTCCTAACTGGCAATGGGGAAAGATGGCCTTGAAATATCCTGAATAGCAGAGAGAAACCAACTGGAGATGCTGAGGATAGTCTATTAATTTAATGCTGCAAACATCTGGTGAACAGCTATTTTGTACCAGGTACTATACTGACTACCATGGAAAACACAAATGATGACAGCTGTTGACATTCATATATCCCTTTTCAGGTTACATTGTACTGTACATGCATTATCTTATTGGATCAAAGCGAATACTAAACACAAACTCTCGTTCATTTCCAGGCTATAGTCTGGCCCTTCTCTACCATAATCACTCCAGTGCTGGAATTCACACACTGGAAGGACTCTCCAGTCCTGAGGTCTTTTCCTCTACTTTGATGGCTTCTCCCAGAACCACCATTTAAGGAGGGCAACCAGGTCAGGCATGTCTCATTCCTCTCCAGGCTATACTTCAGAACTTTTTCTACCATGTCCCCTCACTGAGTCCCTTTATTTTCCTCCCCTCCCTTTCTATCTTCTTTTTAAATGCTGTCTTTCCCCATTAAAATATAAGTTTCTTGAGGGCAAAAACTATCTTTATTGCTGCTTATATTTGTATTCTCAGCACTAGACACAGGGCCTGGCACACAGTAAGTGTCTAATAGATATTTGTCGGATTGACTGATAAGCTGACATTCACTTGTATTTGCTGTTAAATGCAAAATTATTAATATTCTGTAAACATTTATAGGTAATATCTTCAAGAATAGTTTTAAAATATGAAAATAATAAAAATAATGATTTTTTTAAAAGAGAAAAAAATTGAAAAATGTAGATGGAATAAATGACAAATGTCACTGACTCCTCTTTTTACTCACAGCTGGACTGAGGATTTTTCTTTAGTAATGGAATGCCTTTTTCAAATTTTCTTCTAAAACCCTGATATAGTAGGGATTATAAAATTTCAACATAAAACAATCTTGAGGGTAAAGGTGGAGTTGTCTTTGTAAACTAATTTTCTTAAACTAAAGAATAGCATTATAAAAATGTCTTTGAACTTTTGGGGAAATAGTCATTCTCTAGACACTCCCCCCATCTCCCACCTAATGGCTGACCGTTAAGTGAGACTCACTGAAAACTTACTTGTAAGAAAGGTCCACTGCCAGTGGATTTGGAGGAGGGATAATAAGACCGACAGAAGGGACCAGCATGTCTACGCCTCCTGGGCCAGTCACATACCACTTGCTGCGTTCGTTGTTGTCCTTCAAGATACATTCATCTCCCTTGTGCACTATTTTCTGTCACAAAAGCACAAAAGTATTTTGCCTCTATTCACAGAATAATAAAAAACAGAGTTGTATTTGATCATATAGGGCATTTAGACCAGTTATGTGAACCTCAAGTAGAATCAGGTCCCTGTGGGCCACAAATTAATATTATCCGTGTTTTATTGTATTTTTATTTATTTTGTTAAATATTCCCAACTGCAATTTAATTTCGTTCAGGCTGTATTCAGGCCATGTGTTTGACACCTCTGTGCAGTCCATGTAAGCACACATGACTTCTGTCCTATCTTGTCAAAGCCATGGGGAAGAGGAGGGAGTTAAGAGATAAGGTGACAAAATATTTGGACTATAATATATGTTGTGTAAGTACATATGCAGGGGAGGAGGGATAAAGTGGGCCTCCTCTATCAGTTAAAGACATCATAATCCTCTCCCTTTGACATTTAAAAAGCCAAAACAACATTTATTCAGTTTCAGATCACAGCCCTAGAAATGGCACCTTTTAATCAAATGTCAACACATAATGGGTCCCTATTTCCTTAAGCAGAGATGACAACTGGCTTTATTTAGATGTATATCAATCTCAACATTCCTTTCAGCTCCTCACCCTGGACACCACACTTATTAATCTCCACGTTAACAGTAGGACATTTCCATTTAATTGATTAGTATTAAATTTCATTATTTTATTAGAAATCACATTTTACATGCAAAAAAAAACCACTAGAAGGTATTATCTAAGTGACTAAAACATGGAATTGCTCAATACTTGGTATGCTGAATAGCCTATAGAAAAACATATATATTTAATTATTGCATAAAATTTGTACTAAATTCTCTTTTTAGTCAGCTTAATAGTCTACCTCCCCATTACTTCTCTTTTAAGGTAATATAGAAAGAAAAGATAAATCTACACACACATTCAAGGCTAATGTTCCCTAAAGAAGTTCAATAATTATGTGCCTCAGCATGAAAAGTGAAACTACTGAGCTTATTTACTAAATGACTCTTCCAGTTATAAAAGCAAAACCATCCATTGTCAAGCTATTTGAAACTTCAGTTAAATGTTGGCCTCTTACTTGTGAATAGCCTAGAGGAAAGGGAATTTTTGAATCCTTCTCAGTAATTGCCAGTCAATACACACCTGGTCTTGTTTGTAGTCACACAGAGCCCTGAGGATAATGGGTTTATTGCTCCTATAGTCTGGGTTCCGAGGTTTCAGCTGGACAATCTTCTTGGACTTGTTTACCAAGTTTTGCACCTGACGCTTATATTCAAGGATCTTCTCTCGTTCTTTCTGTAATTGGTTTTTTAAATTATATTTTTAAAAGCAATAGCTGAAGAATTCTCTGGCAAAATCTTCCAGATACTTTAAAATAAAGTGATCATAACTGGATAAAAATATTTACATTCATTATAAGGCCACAAAATTCATTTGGGGGGAGAATGAGAGCCTTTCAAGATAAACCATTATATAAGCTATTACCTGTGAATTAAAAGAGCAAAAAAGAACACCACAGTGTGGAAGGATTGCTTAAACTTCTTAGTATTCTTTTCTAAAGGATTTTTGAGGCTAAGAAATCACTCTTCTCTTTGTTTTCATTTTGGCAATGAAACTTACAAAAAGTCCAAACATTCTGAACCATAAGACTTGATAAAAATTGAACATGCAGAGAAATTCATATAATTTGATCTATGAAAGATCAAGAATCCATGTATAATTAGGGATCTTATTTTATTTGTCTTGGGCTCTTCTACATATTACTAACAGACCAGTAATCATGAGTGGTATGCTAAGTTTTTTCCATTGCCAAAGATTTTATGTTGATGATACCTCAAGTTCTTTGATCTGTTCCAGTAAGCGTTGCAGTGACATGTTCTTATCACAGGTGTACTTCTTCCTGATGGAATCTTGTAGGCCCTTCAGGTAGGCTTCAGTTGACTGAGCCTCTTCAAAAAACTACCAAGGAGAATGATGTTCATAGTTAAATACTTTTAAAAGAGCATATCAATGAAAATGCAATAATTACTTTCCAATAAATAGGGTATAATTAGTCATATAAGCTAATGTCTACATCTCATAGCATGAGAAAAGCAATTTTTGTTGTTGTTTAGTCCTTTTTGGTAGCGTCCAACTCTTCATGATCCCATTTGGGATTTTCTTGGCAAAGATACTGGAGTGGTTTGCCATTTCCTTCTCCAGCTCATTTTATAGATGAGGAAACTGAGGCAAACAGAGTCAAGTGACTTGCCCATGGTCACACTGCCAGTTAGTGTCTGAGGCTAGATGTGAACTCAGAAAGATAAGTCTTCCTGACTCCAAGTCTGGCACTCTATCCACTGTATCACCTAAGTGCCCCAGAGCAATTAATAGGCAGCTAAATAAAAATATTAGCCAAGGGGGGAATCTTTTCATATCTCAATTGTCTACTCCTAATGTCTCAGGATACCCTCCTTGCCTGAGAATCATTTGGTGACCTGGAAATACATACTCTTCAAAATCAGGAACAATTCGTGTATTTTTTGCTTTTGTTCTTTAAAAACAGATTCAAGATATGAATTTCTAAAATAAGTAAATTGCTACTGCAGAACTAAAACCTTACCTGAAAGTAGGCAGCATTTTCCTTGAGATGAACATCAATGCATTTGGTAATCTGAAGGATCCAACTCCATTGTGTCTGCAGAGTATCCATGTATGCCTGCAGAGAAAACAGGAGTTGTTTAAAATGGCATTAAGCAGGCTAAAGCTATTTCTCCCTAATGGTTGGTAGCTCAAGGAACAAACCAGCACTTTTTCGGTTTGACTAGAAACTTGGGTAGTGGTTCATGATTTTAGTGCCAGGTTAAATGAGCTTCTCCTAAAACCTAAAAAAGAACTATCCAACAGTCCGACTGGCTCCAAGTTGAAGTTAATTTTTTAAAACCAGGCTTAATAAAGAAGCATAATATACTGGCATAAAACTAGAATTTAGACTATGTTGAATGGAGCTCAATGATAGTGCAAGAGAGCTCTACATATCCACCTTTCTCCTCTGTGGAGCTTGTCAATTACTCCCAGACACTACAGTATATATGTCACATAAGAAGTCTACCTCGATTTTGTCTGAAGCAGGATGCTGGTTGAGAACAAGCTGGTCACTTTCTTGCTTAAGCTTGTTGAGTTCTTTTTCCTTGAGTTCCAACTGGCTCATACGTATCTGGGAAAAAGAAAAAAAAAACAAGAACAAACAAGCCCTTTAAAACACGTCATCCTTCAGCATTCCATTTCTCTTGCTGTTTTCTTAAATAATGGTAGAGACAAACTGCATTTTCTTAGCAACTTAACTCCCGAGGTATCAATGAACTCTGAATGAGCTCTTTCTAAATTTTAATAATACTAATAGCATTTAATCCACCTCCAGAAAAAGAACTGATTGAGTCTGAATACAGATTGAAACATACTTTTTAAACTTTCTTTATTATTCTTGGTTTTTTGGTCTGCATTTTCTTTTGCAACATGGTTAATACAGAAATGTTTTGTGTGACTGCACATATGAAATCTATATGAAATTGTTTGCCTTCTCAGAAAGGGGAAAGGAGAAAGAGGAATTTTGAACTCAAAATTCCTTTTAAAGAAATGTTAAAAATTTTTGCTTACATGTAACTGAGGGGAAAAAATTAAATGTAAAAAAAATCTAGATATCATTAGAGTAAACGGATCTGTCTTTTAAAAAATAGCATTTATATAGAACTTATTATGTGCCAAGCAATGTGCTAAGTTCTTTTTTCAAATATTTTATTTGATCCTCATAACCACCTTGGAAGGTAAGTGCTATTATTATTCCCATTTTACAGATGAAGAAACTATGACAAACAGAAGTTAAATGAGGTACTCAAGGTCACACAGCTATTAAATATCTGATTCTAGATTTGAACTCACATCTTCTTGACTCTAAGCCCTATCCCCAGAACCACCTAGCTGGCTCTTAAACTTACCTTAAACTGACCACCACAATGTTGACCACTACGTTTTTTATCTAAGTCACCAAAAAGTCATGTCAAGTTAGTAGCTTTTTGGTAACCATTAGACAGGAATATAAATAGCTTAACCAGTGGGGAAAGGCATCTAATGTCAGAGGAGAGGTACAGAGAGGGGCAGTGCACTTACAGAGAAAGCTTCCTGTTTCTGGGCAATATTTGTGTTTTTATCACTCCAATCATAGAGCAGCTCCTCTTCTTCACAGTCATTGATCCACATGATCTCACGGGAAGTAGCCTGGATGATGCTTTGGAGCTGGCGAAGGTGATCCATCCTCTCAAAGGATGCTTTCTGCAAGATTTCAAACACATCAATTCAGTGAGCAGATGCAGAATCATAGAAGACTTCCAGTTGATGCTCCTCTTTGAGGTCAAAAACTCATTTAAAAGTAACTGTGGCCTCGCTCACTAATTTAAAAAATTAAGCTAAAGTGTACTAGGCATACCAGGGATAGGAACTAAACCTGCGATTTCAGGGGCATGGGGAGCTCAGAAAAAGAAACTTCCTCTACCAATTCAGACTGGCACCTTTTCTGCAACTTACAGTCTTTTTTTTTTTTTTGGCTTTTTGGTGAGGCGGTCAGTGTTAAGTGACTTGCCCAGCATCACACAGCTAGTAAGTGTCAAGTACCTGAGGCTGGATTTGAACTTATGTCCTCCGGACTCCAAGGCCGGAGCTCTATCCACTGCACCATCTAGCTGCCCCTCTACAACTTACAGTCTTAACAGAGTTGCCTTGAGCACTAAGACCTGCCCAGGGTCACACAGCCATTTGTGACCATGGCAGGATTTGAATCCAGGCATTCCTGGCTACAAGACCAGCTCTTTATCTATTATGCTATAACACTTCCCAGTGTCTTACTAATACTCAACTAAGGAATAATGCTGTAGTCTTAAAAGCTACAAAACACTTCTGTTCAGTAGTATCTTAACAGTAGCTGGCTTCAGCTACTGATGAAATTCGGCTATTCAGTGAAATACTATGTTTTAAACAACAAAAATGAGGAACAGGTTTTGGAATATGGCCTGCTATGGTCATAAAACAGCCTATGGGTCATCTTTTCCATCCTTTCTCATTGCTAAAGAGGATATGGTGGTGCCACAAAAGCCACAATGTTTGCTAGGTATGAAAAAAGGTGAAGACTGTTGCCAATGAGGAAGTAATCATGAAAGCACCAATAATAAGTAGCTGACTTTATGGTGTTCTTCAAGGTTTACTAGCTGTATGACCCTGGGCAAGACACTTAACCCTGACTGCCTCACCCAAAAAAAAACAAAAACAAAAAACACTTTGTCTGCTTTATCTCATTTGATCCTCATAGCTCTAAATTTTAATAATAATAGCTAGCATTTATTTAGTGGCTACTATGTGCCAAGCACTTTTTACAAATATTATCTCAATGATTCTCGCAACAACCCTGGGAGGTGCTTTAAGTGACTTGTCCAAGGTCATACAGCTCATAAGTAGCTGAGGCTGGATTTTAATTCAGGTCCATTTTATGGATGAGGAACCTGAGGCATAGAGAGGTTAAATGATTTTTTATGGGTCACATAGCAAGTAAGGGTTGAAGGCTAGACTTAGACCCAGGTTATTATGACCCAAGGTAAGTATGCTATCCATTACACCATGCTGAATAGTAGGTATTATTGTCTTGTAGAAAGACTATGAGAATCAAATGTAATTACTCCCTTCACTGTTATGGAACATGTTGCTATCATGTGATAGTAAAATAAACTACATGGAAAATACAAACTCTTTAGCTATTTTTCCTTTTCTATACAAAAGGACTAGGAATGCAATGCAAAGGTTGAAAAACTTAATTAATTTTATTTCATCTACCACGGTTTAGCAACTATTTTAATAATCTCTATCATCACAATCCATTTATCAAGTACCTAGTTACAAAGAGAACTGTGTGTGAGCAATTTCCTCAATTTTAATTTCTGGAGTGGATTCTTCAATAAATGCAAAATGATAATCTAATAGGACTTTAAAACATTTATGATGTTTCCAATAGCAATACCCTTTACTGAACATAAAAATGATTTACATGTACTCAAGAAATACATGTGCTTACCACAAGGTTTTCATATTCTTCCTCCAGTTGATATATTGCAGATTTCTCACGCTTGAAGAAAAGAAAAAAAGTTACTATTCAGTGCTCCCTGTAAATTCAACCTAGTCCTGGCATTATTCCTGATCTCCTCTTTCTCAGGTCTGGCTTCAGATCCTTTCCATCCAACATAACAATTGTTCTATGTGTGAAAGAATCTTTCAACCACAGTTAAATTAGTTGTACCCAGATAATTTGCCTGAAATCACTTTCATGATCCTGGATGCAATAAGGCACTTAACAGACTAATTTTTTCCAAGGTTGAAAATATGAATAGGATTGTTTTCTCATCACCTCCTATCTTAGGAAAGTAAGGGAAGAAGATGGACATACATCCATAGAGTAAAATAATAGGCAGGAACGTTAGAATTTTTTTTTTTAATGTAAGAAGTTGAACCTTTAGTATCACTTACCCAAGGAAAGGTAGTGATTTAAATGGTCAAATGGAACCAGCTAAATATATTTGTTTTAATTCACTTTTATCCAATTAGTCTCTCCTAATTTTCAGTGAATAATGGAAAGGAGTTGGGAAAAGAGATTATTCAGTATAAATACTATAGTCACCACTAAGTAAATAATTTACCAAAGATGCAGAAGTAATGCATTATGTTCACTGTATGTACTTCCATTTCCAAAGGTGCTTCCCTGCTCATAAAACACTGAATTACTTGCCCAAATAGAACAGAGGCAACCTGTTTGTGATATTTTTTTAAAATTTCATTTCATTAAGTGCTATTTGAGCTAGATGATAATAAATAATTCCACTTCCCCATGTGTGAAATGAGATTTTACAAATATAGCATCAGGTCAGAAGTGGTAATAATCATAAGCTAACATTATTTACAAGACTTCTTAGAGATAAAATAAATTAGCCACCCACCCAACAGACATATTTTAAAGAGAAAGCATGTAAAAAGGTAGTACCAGATCGGCCTTAATTTTATCCAGCTGCCACCGATAGTCGCCAATGGCATTGTGGATGACTCTGTGGCTATTGATATGTTGCTCTACAGATGCTGAATCAACACCCCATTGCACTAAATCCATCTCCGCCTATGAAAGAAAAAAAAGAATACGTCCCTTCATCTCGAGCTCCTCAAATGAAAGGCACATCTTCCCTACCACAAGAAGTCTCAAAATACAAGGAAGGTGGGTTATAGTAACAGGGAAAACTTTAAATAAAATAAGATACATTTTTTCATCCTTTGAGAAAAGATACTTTAGAATATAAAATAATTTCTAAAACTAAAATATTCAAATATCCCAGAATTCTCAAGGATTTTCTGCAGCTATCGTGGGGGCTCCATAGGACTCCCTAAGGCAAACATGGTATCAACCTCTAGGGACTGCCCAGGGAGATCATTCACAAAACTGTGTCTCCAAGGAAGAAAAATTAGGTTTTTTGTTGTTGTTGTTATTGTTTTTTAATTAATCTACTCTTTTAGACTACCACTGGTTCAGGCATTATAGATATATATTGCAGTTATTATCAGGAAGCACAGTATGAAGTTTTCCATTACAGCACGGAATTGAAGGTGCTATCTGGTAATTAATTTACGTACCTGTACCATATAAATCAGGGCCAGGCCAAAACAGTAAACCACATCATAGATACAGGATTTTAGCTGATTTATTCTAATCCCTTCCCCTACCATATGGATAAATGTGTGTGTTGTTCATTTTTCAGTCATGTCTGACTTTTCATGGCCCATTTGGAGTTTTCTTAGTAAAGATACTGGAGTGGTTTGCCATTTCCTTGCTCATTTTACAGATGAAGAAACAGAGGCAAACAGGGTTAAATGACTTGCCCACAGTCTTACAGCTATTAAGCATCTGAAGTCAAATTTGAACTCAGGAAGATGAGTCTTCCTGATTCCAGGCCCCAACACTCTGTCCATTGTCCTACCTAGCTGCTTGGGTATATAATACATGTTATGAAATATAATGTTATAAGACAACATTATAAGATAATTAAATATAATATTATATGTGCACAAACATTATGTGTACATAAACATATACAAAATATATGCATGAATATGTGTGTGCCTGCATTCAGTGTTTGCAAATTGTCTAGTCACCATTACTCATTTCCTATGCAAACCTGAAGGCTGTTTTCAGGATTTAATAAAAACAACTGTGCTAAGCCACACCTGTGCTCAAATAGACCTGGCAAGCTTTCAAAAAGTGGAGCCATTTCAGAGTCCTACATCTAAACATTACCAAGAACTTTGACCCTTTCTCAATTAGCTAGAGCAAGCTTTCAAAAGAGTCTAGCTGTGTAATACACCAAAATGGTCATGCAGTGGCACCATTCCAAGCTTGATCTTCTCAATAATTGCCATCCTTGCGGAATTTAACCCAGCCGAATGGAATCTGAGTCTTCCATCAGGGGAATACCAAATAAGGAAAGACAAAACAAAAACCTTAGAAAGGTGAAGAAGCCAAGTATGATCTCCCAGGGGCTGTGTTGGTAGAGAAAGAGATCTTTTAAACTGAGAACATTAACAGTCTCTAGGGACTGAAATGCAGAATTCAGAGCTATGTGCTTGGGAAGGGATAGGCAAGGAAGTACAGGGTAAGAAAGAATGCTGGGGCAAACCACCAAGTAAATAATAAGATAACTTTCCCTTGGAGGTGGGAACAGTCTGAATAGTCATTCAGAGACTGATAGGCTCATTAGGTGTCTACTGATAACCCTTGTGACATTAGCCACTTTAAGAGACGAAACAATGTTCATCTGCTAATCCAAGTTTCTCCTGATTGTAAAATGGTGGACTTTTACTACAAGGGTATTTCTAGAAGGTCAAATTAGACGGCTTGCATAGGAGCTACTACTGACTAAAAGCTAAAGAACTGGGCCAAGCATGATTACAGAAAATCAAATTTCCATAAGTTTCAACCTCACTTTCTCAATTACATTCATGATACTGCCCATCATGGGTTAAGAAAAAATATAGTAACTAACCCACTTTACAGGGACTGTGGCTTAATCAAAACATTAAAACTGCTGCTATAGTCTGTAGGTGAGTTAATGCACTACTTAGATTTCAAGCCTGGGATCATAGACATCCATCTCCAGGAAGGCCTTTTTTATCACTATATACATATATATGAATATACATATGTATTAATATATTCATATATTTATGACACTGATTAGTAATAAAACTCTCTTCTAGATATAGATGAACTACATTTGTAAATGCTCAATCTCCTCCCTCTAACCACCTGTTCTGAGTTATATGCTTATTTCTGAAAATTACAGTTTATCAACAGTAGATTTCCAAGAAAAAAATCCCTCACACCTCCATTATGGCATTTGGTTGATAAGAGTAGTGGAAGCAATGGATATTTAAAATAACAAAATGCTAACGAGGGTTAAAAACTCATGTTTTATAGACATTGCAGGTCTAGGGAATGTGTCAAAGTGTATTTTAATTTTCATTATTTTACTTTACTCCTACTCTAGTGACTTAATGGCTGCATGAAAAGACAATGTCATATCATAAGCAGAAGTTAACCAACCAACAAGCCCAAACTGGAATATCTGGTTTTAATGCAGGCTGAGCTCATCCAATCTGTTAATATTCTAAACAATCCTCTGTAATTGCAAACTCAAACTTATCATAGAAATGAAGTAAGGCAAACTCTTAAAAAAACAAATGCCTTAAGATATCAGTGGGCATACTCCTATGACTTTTTTTCTCCATCCTACAAGCCGTGGTAGCTAAGTATGCATTAACAATGATAATAAAATAATGACAGTGATTCCTTAAGCAATTCACAGAAATCCATGTTCTCATACTATGTTAATGGACTGATTCTCCAGGCACACATATATCATATACATAATAGCAATAATGTAGGCTGATGCTAGATCACTTTAAGTAGCTAAGTTTTAAAAATAATTCCCTACCTCTACTCTTTTGAGCTATAAAATCTACACTTAATGGAGGGTTTAACATTACATAGCAAAAGTAATCATTCACTACTATAGATGGCATTGAGCTAATGGTAAATAAAAATAAATGTAAAGCAGGTCTTAGAGAGAAGGCCAGAGCAGATTTTTAAATTTACCCTCCTCCTATATCAATAGCCAAACAAGTTCATTTCTATAGGACTATACAAGACTGAGACTTTGTATGCACAAAAACTTCCTCTGATTGAGTCTATCATCTCTGACCTATGTAAAAAAAAGGACAGATCTGGATTAATATATTCTTAATGGATGTGAATTAAACTCAATTATAAATGGCATATTAAAAAACACCAACAAACTCTGCGTCAGTATGCAGTCTTGACTCTGCTTAATGATCTCAGAATTCATTATAATATATGCATACACAATGTGGTCTCAGACCCTATTCAGTCTCCTTTACCAAAAGAACACCATTGAAGGTCCCTGCTTTGTGGGTTATAAGGACCAGATTAATAATTTCCCCCAGAAAAAGGCTTACCCTTTGCTGCCTCATCCATCCCAAACAATCACTGGTGAGGCGCTTAGTAAATTCGTCCCATCCGGAGCCACTCTGACAAGTGTATCCTCCACCACCCCTGGAACTAGCCTTTCTTACTCGGGGAGCACTGATAGCTTTATAAAGAGCACGCATTTGCTCCTGAAGCTGAAGTAATCTGAAAGGGAAAAAAAATTATGGAAAATCAGGAAGGTGTCCTAGAGCCTCCTTTGACCCTGAAAAGTATGAAAGCACAAGCTAACAATGCTTGAATTTGCTTACCCACATCATAAATACCTAAACTAAACCTTGCTCAAAACAGAGGAAAACTAACCCTCAAGACAATAAAGTATGAAGCAACATCATGGAAAACATAATTGTCATTGGTTAAGCTGGTAAAACCTTTCTCTCTTTTAATCTCAGGACTCATTCTTTGGTTATTTGTTCTTATGAAACACAAAGTCAGTTTATAAATCACTGAAATGACTTTTTTCTAATAGAAGAATCTCATTTTGTAAACTTCACTCTCAAGAAGTTAAGAACAAAGAACGAGACAAAGTGTATGCCTATAAACTGGGGAATTGCTAAACAAACTGTGGTAAACGAATGTAATGGAACATAACTGTGCTATAAGAAATGATGAATGAGGAATACAAAGAAACACAGGAAGAATTATATAAACTAATGTAAAGTGAAGAAGTAGAACCAGGAAAATGATATATACAATAGCAACAGTGTAAATGGAGGGAGGGAAAAATGAAACTGAATGCCATTTAACAAATGATCAAGCTTGACCACACAGAATAGACTAAAAAAATTTTCCCTCCCTTCATTGGAGAGTAGAGAGACTATGAGTATGAAATATTATATAGATGTTCTCAGGCTCTGGTGGTACAATGAGTTTTTCAGATCTGATTTTTTTTCCTTTTCTCTCTTTTAAAAAATTCTTTCCTACCAGCGATGGCTTTCTCTCTTTTTCCTCTTTGTTTAGATAGCAGAAGGGAGCAGGATATGCTTGGAAATAAAGATGATGGAAAAACAAATACACCAATAAAGATTTTTTAAAATGGAAATAAGTCAAGTACAGAGTCAACAGCATCCACTATATTCTGAATAAATGTTTATATGCTCTCTTATTTAAAAATAAACAAAAAAGTGAGCCATTGTTACCTTTCAAATCTAAAAAACAGATTTTACCATTGGCACCTGAAACAAGATTAAGGGTTTCCCCCTTTCAGAGAAGTCATTTTAATTTCACTTCAGAGTAGTTCCACAACTCCATCCAAAAACAGATCCATTCTATGTCTAGCTTAGAGGCATTTCAGATGATATATGTTAAAGACATCCAGATCAGACAAACATAACACAAATACTTCTTTCAGCCATAACAGCTGTGTACTGGGGGTTTTACCTTCCTTAAAGGAAGCATCCCTTTTAACTGAAAACATGTGCCATGAGAAGATTAACAATATAACTGAACTTGCTAGAATTTTTTGCTTTTTTTTTGATGAGTCTAAGCCTTCTTCTGAACGCTCAACAGTTGCAATACCTTTTCTGATACGCATCACAGGGTTGGCCCATTTGCCGCATCTCTCTGATTAGGCTGTCAGTGATTTCCATTTGGTCATTGGCCTGAGCAAAACATTCATCCAGTTCTCTACTCCGACCCAGTTGTATACCATCTCCATACTTCAGCTCCTGAGAGAAAGAATTCACATAATTGATAGAAAACTTCCCCAAAAGAAACTTCATGTATGCCAATTCAAGCAGCTAGCATTACTTAATTTGTTCTTTTACAAATATTGGTAAATGCCATACATTTTCCCCAGCTAACTGCCCCAAATTCTTAAAAGAAAATAATCTTAGAAATTTGACAGGTGGGAGAAGGAAGAGGAACAAACCCAATTTTACACCATGAAAATTTACAAGCCAACTACTTCTAGATAGTTGCTTGAAATTTCATTAACTTTTTAAAAGCTACTTATAACCTGAGTATTTTCTGTATGTCAATGAGCTAAAGATTCATCTGTCATTCATTAGTACCTCCCACTGAATGAGATGGGGCAGTGGCAAAGTGGATAGAGTGCCAGGCCTGAAGTCAGGAAGACTGATCTTCCTGACTTCAAATCTGGCCTCAGACACTAACTGTGTGACCCTGAGCAAATCACTTAACTCTGTTTGCCTCAGTTTCCTTCTCTGTAAAATGAGCTGAAGAAGAAAATGGCAAACCAGTCCAACATCTTTGCCAAGAAAACCCAAAAAGGGGTCACAAAGAGCCAGACATGACTGAAAATGACTAAATAAAAAACAGCAAACAACACTGAATGAGAAATACAATGGAGGGAGGAGGACAACATGAAGGCCTCTTTGTGACTATGGATGCTGACTTCAACACAAGATTTATTCATTTATTTTTCTTTAGTGATCCTAGAACTCAGCTAGTTCAATTTTAGCATTCAAAGGGGAAGAAAAATTAAGCTTAAAGAGGTGAATTACTTGTTCAAGGTCATGCAGATAGTTAGTGGTCACATCAGCACTTGAATCCAGAGCCACTGACCTCAAATCCTAAGTTCTTACTATTGCATCAGTAATAGGCATTATTGACAGACTCTTTAGCAGACAAAATCGTCCCACTTCATTTTTCATTTTTTATTTTTTAAATGCCAATTAGTCACATTTATTGACATCAATTCCAATGGGTTTGCTTCCCTATTTATGTAATATAAAACCAATACACAAATCAAATGGGGATAATTAAACAGTTCAGTATATTTCTATTTTGATATCTCTAACCATTCATCCTACTGAATGACTTTCCCTCCTCTCCATCAAGACATGCAGCATTTTATCATACCCACAAGCCTTCTTAAGAAAAAGAAAGTATGTAATGTTGTCACCAGTACCAGTCATTTCACTTCTTAAACTGAAAGCCAGCTCTGTCCTTAGTCAAAAGGGTAGTAATGCCATTTCAGTGCCATGAATGATCTTATTTTGGAATTATTCTCTTCCTTGTTTTAATTCATATGTTTTGGACACATACCAATGATAGATTTGTGGTGGAGGGAGAAGGCAAATGAAATTCTTTTTTTTTTTTTAAATGAAATTCTTGAAGTCCATAAATGGAAAAGAGAACAGCCACAAAGGACATGTGATTGATTTCCACTGAAGACTAAGTAAATATCACTGGTGGCACCCAAGGACACCTCAGTTTGATTGCATACTCTTCTTTTTTACTATTAAAGAAAGATGAGCTTATATGTATACACAGCTGGATACATGGAAATAGTACAATTCAGACTCTGAATTCTTCTCTTTTTTGCTTTTTTGAATCAAGCCTTACTTTTACATCTTTATTCCAAACTTAAACTTTAAATATATCAGTAACTACAGCTATTCATGATTTCTCCAGTAAGATTGGGGGGGGAAAGCATGAAAGACATGGCAGGTACATTTTTAGTACCACACATAGTAATACAACAGTAATAGTCATGGTGGTTGCAAAGAATTTTTAAAGCTATGTTGTGTCATTATTAAACCATCCCAAGGACATTTCCTCCTTCTAAAGGATAACATTCAAGAAGTGAATTTTTATGTCATAGTATTACATTTCAGCCTATCAAAGCAGAGGCATTAATCAAAGGATAAGTCAAAACCCATAATGGAATTGATTTGCTTGCCCTTCAAACAGAACCCATATATTTTTGTGAACAAAACTAAAGCTGAAATAGCAAAAATAAAATGTTTTGTGAATTACTTAAATACTTAATGAACCAGAATGATGTTTAAAAATGTATTTTTTTAGGATTTAACATGAGCCAGAGGAAGTAAAGAATTCTTAATGGAAAATTCCTGAATTCAGAGACATTGCCTGATCCTGAATAACAGGTTAAACATGAAAAAAATCATTAGGATATTTGCCACAATGTCCTAAAAAAAGGTCAAGATATTTGGGGACTTGTTACTTAAACATATAATTCTGTATGAACCGTTTTTATTGATATAAAAAATAATCTCACACTGTTTTGCTCAACACTTTGCCCACAAGAATGGCTTTGTTAACCAGACCATTGTTGTTTCCTTCTTATATTGGGATTTTATGTGGTGAATGAATGTCCTCTCTTTCTTCTGATTTCCAGCAACCTATTTCCACTGAAGTTAATATATTGATGTGAAATAATGCTAGAATGAAGGTTTTTTCAAGTAAATAAATAAATGAAACCAGTAAATCAGAATACCAAAATATTCTCTAAACTAAATGAATATCTCATTTCTAGTCCTTTCCAGCTATAAAATTCTGTGAACTGAGACTGGTCTAATATTTGTTAGGCAATATATCAGACCTAGCCCATATTTAGTTTAATGAGTTAACATGAACACTTAAATAAGAAGACACAAATTCTACTCCAGTCTGTTCCATAAAAGGGCAGTTTCCTTTATGAGGTCATCTTCAAGAAGTCTGTTGAAATAGGAGACTCTGACAAAGTTAGGTAGTATCTAAAGAGCCAGAGTAAGAGAAGTTCCTTTGTTGGCTTGGGTAAAGATAAATAAAGAGAACTCACAGGTTGAACGATGAGCTCAGCCCGCATCAAGCAGTCAGCACAGTTCTGCAAAAGCTCCTGGATTGTGTTCTGGTTCTGGTGCCTGGACATTGTGCCACCAGTTTGACTGATGAAGCAATAAAAAAAAAAGGAGAAAGAAATGACAGCATTAAAGAAAAAATGCAACAAAATCATTATAAATTATGTAATACATATTCCCACATAATGTATCACTTCTTGAGATTAGATATCACTTTTTCCTTTGGTGAATCATAATGTTGAATCCACATCGCAAATCCCACTATAGGAAGAGATTAGGCTATGATAAATCAGCATGACAACTTCAGGGACAAGGTGAACTAAAGAAAAATCTGGCTAATGAGTGAGAAAGTGCTTTCATTCAACAATGGCAGGGAAAAAAAACAATGGCAAAAAAAACATATGGGAAGGCGACAGGGAAAAGCACTGGCCAATTAAGTTTGTCCTTAATATAGAAAAAGTTATAAGACATTCTTTCAGATTCACTGTAGGGTAAATATCTTTCTTTTAAGGGAATACCCAACAAAGCATATATATATTTCTAATTTGGCACTCACTGGAACTGAATATATTATAACCTAGTAAGGATGCTACCAACTATATCTTTTAGTAAAATGTACAACTATGCACAAGAGGCCTCTTTATCCTGTTGCATAACTAAAACTATAGACTAATACAGAGTTTTTACTTTTAAAACTGTTACAAGGCATCATGAAATAGCTGCATCTGCTATAGTTTAATGTAAGAGGAATACAAGGCATATCCCAAAAGTGCTCAAGATGAATGTAGCATCCCGTATTATTAGTGGCACATAAATTAACACTATCTGAACAGTAGTGGCTGTTCCTCTTTACCCTTGTTTATACTCCACCCCTTCTTCACTCCCAATCCCAACCCTGCCACAAAAATCATATAGGGGATACAAAGAAACAGGACTGATTTTTTTTTCATCACCAGGTTTTTGTCCTTTCCCTGGGAGTCTGTCTCTCTAGAATTAGGCAAGCTCAGACTGAGCTCATGGTCAACTGTCCACCAACAAAAGCCAAAAAAAAAAAAGCTCCATTAGTGTAGTGCAATGTAAGAGAACAGACAGGGATACTAATAACCGAGATTTAATACTACTTTAAAATTTGCAATATATTTTACATACATTATCTCATGTGATCCTCACAACAACCCTCTGAGATAGGCATTACTACCCCTATTTTATCAGAAGCCTAGAAGGAACAGGTGGCTTGCTCAGAGTCACACTGAAGTCAAATGCAAACCCCAGTTTTCCTAATCCCAAGTTCAGCATTCTTCTACAGATCTTCCTTCTCTGCAGATAATGAATAAACTGTTTAGCTTAGCCCAATTTTCTTAACAAAACATAAGCTATTGAAAAATATGTAAAATGCAACACTTCTATTATAATCCAGTGTTACTAGTCCTAAGTGCAATTTCTGATAGTTTCTAAAAAAAAAAAACTTCACAATCACAATGGTTATCCTTAGTGCCCCGAATAACCATGAAAAAACTGGACATCAGCCATATTTTTCTATGACAATTACATCCATTCTATTTTCCTACTGGATATTATATTATCCTTTTGTATCAATGCAGTCATTGTCCTGTATTCTTAGTTATATAAACTGCCTGGAAAATTTTTATCACTGCCCACAGCTAATAAGTCTGCCCTTGCTGTCTCAACTTGTACAAAATTCCAACTGACTTCTGAATCATAATGCTTTCTGTTCTTTTTAATAAAATAGACCTTTCACGTAAAAATCTTTTTAGTTCTTACAGAGATAAAGAAAATTGTTGAAGCTTGTCTTAGAGTGGTAGGAATCCAAAAGGATTTATGTAATTTCACAAGTCAGAGAATATTTGCTTACTTTCCCTAGCAGAATGGGAGTCCCTTGAGTTCAAGAATTGTCTCACTTTTTATATTTGAATCTCTAATGCTTAGCACAGTGCCTGGTACAAAGCAGAAGTTTAATAAATGCTTGTTGATCGATTACTAACTGTGGGGAGGGAATAATGGTACCTTGTAGGAGTACCTTTAGAAATCTCTTTATTTCTAAATTCTTTGCCTTATTATCTTTTAATGAATTATATCAGACGTGATATTTCTAACCACATAAGCAATCGTGGCTGAAAGGGACCTCAGAGGTATAATTCTTCATTTTACAGATAAGGCTGTAGAGAAGTTAAATGACTCATCCAAGTAAGGTAGCTTTGATCAATGGACAAGCATTTATTAGGCATCTGCTCTGTGTCAGACTCTGACTAGTCACTAAAGATACAAAGGCCAAAAAGAAAAGAAAAAAGAAAAGAAACAGCCCCTCTTCTGCAGGTGCTTCCACCCATCCTCCAACCCCAGACCACAGGTCTGTCCACTGTACCATGCTGCGAAACCAAAAGGGGTTTTCACAGACTGGCAAAGTCAGGGTCTCTTAGTAGATCAAAAATACTTTACTACTGAGAAAATCTTCCTAGAGAAATGTGAGAGGATCACCTCACGTGGGTGCAAATACTGGTAAAGCACCAGAATGCAACACCTAAAAGTTTTTGCAGCACAGATAGGATAGTGGACAGAGCATTAAACTTGGGGAGAGGACAGCTGGCTTTTCATGTTGGCTCCACCACTAATAACACCAGCTTCACTATGGGCCTCTGTTATCTTTTTTCTTTTTAAATTTAATTACGAAACAGCAAACACCAAAGAAAATGGGCATCTCCATGAACACAGCAGAACAAAAAAAAAGATTACACATGAAACTTCAGGCTTCTATTACACACAACTTGGTTTTCTTTAAGTATGTGATAAATTCAAGTTGTAGCCTTCAGAGTTGTCCTGTTTCTCCGTACTTCTTTCTGGCCTTTCTTCTGTGTGCTAATTTTTTTTTAAAGATGTCTCAATGACCTTCTTTTCTTTTTTCTTTTGTTACCTTTTCCCTATCCTCTATCACAAGCCCACCCCCTTCTATGAGAGAAAAAAAAGGAAAAAGGAAACAAAAAGGAAAAATAAACAGAGACAGGCCTCTGTTTTCCAATTTGTAAAAAGAGGGACTAGAAAAAATTACCTTTAAGATTCCTCTGTGTCCTAATGTTCTTGTGATTTGTTTTACCAAGAGAAAAATTCTCAAATTATGCAATTTCTATCTCCCTGATGAAAAGCCAGGTATTCAGGTACATTAAGGAAAGACAAGGGGACTGGAAGCAATTACAATGCTTCAAATGTATTCTAATGTATTCTTTCAGGTAACTAAGGATTAGGGGGCAAAAGAAAGTCTTGTTTTACCTACGAGCAGATTCATGTTTCAATTTTTTTTTTACTTTGCTGCTGTGGACTAGCCCACTTGATATAAATATGAAATGCACTGTATCAGTTTTGTCAAAGTAACATAGTCAGCTGAGAGTTAATGCTATTCTCTAAACAACTAATTTAACACCAGAGACTAAGGAGGTTTTAATAAAAACGGGAAAACAAAAACAGTTCTATCAACCTTTATGCCTAAATTCCCAAAAATTCCTCAAGCCTAGAAAGGAGACGTTACATCTGACAATCTTTAATTTAAAGTGCGCAGAAAGAATCCTGAAAAGTACATCTCTACATATAATGATGCACATTGCTGTTCAGTAGCATCTGACCCTTCGTGACCTCCTGGGCCACACAGGGGTTTTCTTGGCAAAGATACTGGAATGATTTGCCATTTCCCACTCCAGTGGATTGAGGCAAACAGAGGTTAAGTGTCACACAGCTAGTAAGTGTCTGAGGCCAAATTTGAACTCAGGATTTCCTGACTCCAGGCCCAGTGCTTTACCCACTGATCCATCTACCGCCTAATAATGATGTACATATGCACCAGTAAGACTATATATTTAGATAATACCTCCTTTTGCTAGAAAAAATGGGGGGGGTCGTAATTCGGGTCACCAGGAAAAATACTATTAGGACAATAAACCGATTAAGAAGAATAGAAAAAAACCCAGTCCTCAAATAAAAGCAGTTGATGTGCAGTGGACAGAGTGCTGCCCTTGGCAGACAGGAAGACCTGAGCAAATCTGGCCCCAGATACTTACTAGTTTTGTGACCCTGGGAAAGTCACTTAACCAGTTTCCTCAACTGTAAAATGGACATAATAACACCTACCTACCAGGTTGTTGTGAAGATCAAATGAGACAATGTTGGTAAAAAAGTGCTTAGTACAATGACTGGATAGTAGGCACTACATAAATGCTTATTCCCTTCTCCTAAACATAAATTGTGTACCTAATATGCACAAAACAATTCTCAGTCTGTCTTTAGAATTATTGCAACTTTCTATATTTTTTCAAATTGCTTATAAGTACCAAAAGACTTGTTTGTTTCTCTATACAGCCATGTCTTCCCTACCCTACTCCAAACACAACATACTCCTCCCCATCCCCCCATGAACACATAAATTTGTATAACAACCATATTAGCGCCTGATAATTCAGGGTGGAAAAAAGGTTTTCTAGAGCAGGAGTTTTTAACCTGGGGTCTGTGAAATATACATATACATATATATACACATACACACACACACACATATACACACATATGTACATATGTGTGTGTATATGTATATATAAAATATATACACATATACATATATAGACACATATGTACATATGTGTCTATATATGTATATGTATATATAAAATATTATATAAACATATACAGACAACCGTATTTCAAAATAATTGGTTTCCTTTGTAATCCTATAGATTTTATTTTATGCATTTAAAAATATTCTTCTCAGAAGGGGCTCATAGGTTTCATGAAACTGACAAGGATCTATGACACAAAACAGGTTAAGAACATCAGGTTCCAATAAGGAGTAACCCTAATCCCGCTTCAGCAAACTTACATGTTTGTGTTTTCTTTAGTCTGGGCACATTATTAACTATCTGATTTAAGGGATTAGGGGTAGAAGGTGGAGATAGGGAGAAGGGGAAAACAACCTAAACTGTCAGAAGACCTAAAGCTGACATACATGAGAGGACTTGCTGAAAATGCTAAGCCCACAAAAAAAGATATGATCATATTTACCAAAATTCCAATTATATTCACCTGTTTAG